TTAAAAACTAAGGCATTATGTCTACATAATTGCAAGAAGAACAGTGCTGCTTACTTATAATAACATCAAACCTTCACCTTAGTCATTCTCCCAGTTGTCAGGACAAACATTTTACTCATGAATTCCTCCTCCTCTGTTCCAGCACCACATCCAAGCATCACGGAATTCAGAAAATAAACAAATAATTCAGTGACAGCAATAATTAGGTTAGGTCCTGGGGTCATTCTATCCATGGTAATGCTGACCTTTGGGTTTTTCCATCAGGCAATTTTACAGTTTAAAATGGAAAATTCCTAAAGATGTGGAAATAACCCAAGTGCCCATCAATACATAAGTGGATTAATAAAATCTGGTATATGTATACCATGGAGTACTACTCAGCTATAACAAACAATGGTGATATAGCACCTCTTGTATTTTCCTGGATAGAGCTGGAACCCTTTCTACTAGGTGAAGTATCCCAAGAATGGAAAAATAAGCACCACGTGTACTCACCAGCAAATTGGTTTTACTGATCAACACCTAAGTGCACATATAGGAATAACATTTATCAGGTGTTAGGCAGATGGGAGGGGGGGAGGAGGGGATGGGTATACACACACATAATGAGTGCGATGCACACCATCTGGGGGATGGACACGCTTGAAGCTCTGACTTACGGGAGTGGGGGAGCAAGGGCAACATATGTAACCTAAACATTTGTACCCCCATAATATGCTGAAATTTAAAAAAAAGGTAGACTAGAAAAAAATAGGGAAATTCCAAATCTTATTTGAACCTCAAAATTCTGTACTTACTATTATTATTAGAAATAATATTCCTATTACATTACTGTGTTATTATAATGCATTTCTACATTTAGCAGGAAGTCCATCATGGCATTTATATATTAAACAATCACTGTTCTATAATATTATTTCTGTGGTATTCATTTTACAAGGTACTTAGGGTGAGCTATAGAGAATTATAGAGCAGGCAACCTAGTCTCTGATTACATTTTTAAAGTTATGAATAAAAATATCTTAGATAATAAATTTATTTAGTTTCTCTCTGCTAATAAAACAGCGCCTTCTCACCTAACACACTGGCTGCTACACTAGAAAAAAAATTTTTTTTCCATAGGGCCACACAGTGTTTTATTGCAAAAACAGAATAAAAACTTCAAAAACAGAACAATCCTTTCTAATTTAATGAAAAATTTGTTATTTTTTTATTGTTTTCTGTGTGAGTTTTTTTTTTTTTTTTTTTCTGAAACTGAGTCTCATTCTGTCGCCCGGGCTAGAGTGCCGTGGCGTCAGCCTAGCTCACTGAAACCTCAAACTCCTGAGCTCAAGTGATCCTCCTGCCTCAGCCTCCCGAGTAGCTGGGACTACAGGCATGCGCCACCATGCCCGGCTAATTTTTTCTGTTTTTAGTGTAGACGGCGTCTCCTTCTTCCTCAGGTTTTTCTCCAACTCCTAACCTCAAAAGCTCCTCCCGCCTCCACTTCCCAGAGTGCTAGGACTACAGATCCGAGCCACGGGGCCCGGCCTTGTGCTTGAGTTATATGCAACTTGGAAAATGGTTCTCGTGGCTCCCAAGGTGAAGAGACGTGTGAGTTACATATGCTTCACGAGGCCTCGGGCTCAAAACTAGCGTGAGTTAAATACAACTCACAGCGTGTGAACAGGTTAAACTATGGCTTTTCTTGGCAAAGCAACATGGCCTCTCCCAAGTGTTTTCGGTTAGTCTGACAGGAACAAATTGAGTAGCAGCCCAGCCACTGAGACAGCCCAACCCTGGTACAGATCTGGACGTCCAAAGGCGGGTGAATGTGGCACAGAGAGGCTGAGCAGCCCGCCTGACGGTAACGGGATCAAACACAGCAGAAGCAACGAGCGCTGCACACGGGCAAGAGAGAGAACGTCTAGAAGGCATAGTTTTGGGTAAATGAAAACCAGCAAGAAAGGAAGGGATGCCCTAGACAGAGTGATTATTATAATTAAAGCTTTTACTTACTTTTAGAAGATATCGGTAAGCCCCCTGCTACACCGTTAAGACGTCACTTGTAATGGATGCCTCTGTCCAGCCTGCACCTCTTCCTTTGAGGAAAACACTCTCCCCTCCCTCAGTTTAAGGAACCCAAGCCCTTCTCTGCGGTCACACCACCGACCCCAAGCCGGGAGAAAATTTCAGTTCTCCCTTCATATTTATAGGCTCAGGGAAGGGCCACGTGACCACAGCCCAATGGTCACGTGACCAAACCCATGAGAAGCCCCCTCAGGACTTTTTGCCGAAGTTACCGGAGGTACACAGGGTCTCCTACGTGGCCTGCGGGGGTGCTGAGGCGCATGCTGTGTAAAACACTTATGAGAGAAAACCTCTTTTAGAAATAAAGCCAATGGGCAAGAGAAGAGGAGAGAGACTTTTAAGTCCATTCCCTTTTTTGCTTCTATAAGTTTGAGTTGAGCTTTTGTCACTTGTAACCTAAAAGGTTCTTTACTTCCCAGGAATTATCTGTGTACTGAAGCACTTAACCGAGGCTGTGGCCTGGGTTTATTATGCATTTTGTGTGCACTTGAGCGCCGCTGTTGTGGTGCTCCAAGGCTTTGTCCTTCTTACTTAAGTTCGCAAGATCTTCCTTCCGGGATTTCACTCTTCCCTCAGAAAAAAAAAAAAAAAAAATGCTCACGATAGCAGGAAAATGGTAGTGGGCTGGGAGAGCCAGGGCCAGGCATCCAAGTACACAGGGCTAGCCATCCATTGCTGTGCAGGGCTGTGGCTGCAGATCCCCCTATGGGGAGTGGAGGCTGTTGAGCTGTGGGCAACAGCCTGGTGCCTCAAGGTGGTAGTGTACCTAGGTACATCTGTACTTAAGTATAGCAAGCTAGTCTCACCAGGTAAGTCCATTGTTTTTTTGTATGCTCTGTAGCATTAAGCCTCTAAAAATCCCTTTCTGTTAAAATCTCAACCTGTTCACTTTAGGGCTTTTTTTTTTTTTCCTTTAATTTCAGAATATTACAGGGATACAAACATTTTGGTTACATAAATTGCTTTTGTCAAGGTTGTAAGTGAGCCCATACCCCAGATAATGCGCATTGTACCTGTTAAGTGTGAATATATCCATCCCCTACCCCCTTCCCCCACCTGCTGGATGTCTAATGAATGTTATTTCCATATGTGCACATAAGTGTTGATCAGTTAATACCAATTTAATGGTGGGTACATGAAGTGTTTGTTTTTCTATTCTTGTGCTAGTTCATTTAGAAGAACTGTCTCCAGTACCATCCAGGTTAATATAAGAGGTATTAGTTTACCATTTTTTTTTTTGATAACTGAGTAGTACTCCATGATATACATTTACCACATGTTATTAATCTATTCATGCATTGATGGGGACTTGGGTTATTTCCACTCTTTGCAATTGAGAGTTCTGATGCTATAAACATTTGAGTGCAGGTGTCTTTTTTATGAAATGCCTTTTTTTTTTCCTTTGGGTAAATACCCAGTAGTGGGATTGCTGGATCAAATGGTAATTCTACTTTTAATTCTTTGAGGTATCTTTGTACCACTTTCCATAGAGGTTGTATTAGTTTGCATTCCCACCAGTAGCTTTTGAGTGTTCCTATCTCTCTGCATCCACACCAACATTTGTTGTTTGGGGAATTTTTGATAAAAGCCATTCTCACTAGGGTTAAGTGATATCTCATTGTGTTTTTGATTTGTATTTCCCTGATGATTAGAGATGTTAAGCACTTTTTCATATGTTTATTGGCCTTTATCTTCTTTAGAAAATTTTCTGTTCCTGTCTTTTCACAACAGAGACAAAGAAAATAAAATATCTAGGAATATATTTGTCTGAGGAGGTGAAAGACCTCTATAGGGAGAACTACAAAACACTAAGGAAGGAAATAGCAGAGGACATAAACAGATGAAAAACATACCATGCTCATGGTCAGCAGAATCAACATTGTTAAAATATCTATACTGCCTAAAGTTATGTACAGATTCAATGCAATCCCTATTAAAATACCAACATCATTTTTTGCAGATCTAGAAAAAATTATCCTACACTTTGTATGGAACCAGAGAGGACCCCTTATAGCCAAAGCAACCTTAAGCAAAAAGAACAAATTGGGAGGCATCAATTTACCAGACTTCAAGTTATACGACAAGGTTATAGTAACCCAAATAGCATAGAACTGGCACAAGAACAGAGACATAGACCAATGAGACAGGACTGAGAGCCTGGATATAAAGCCATCCTCATATAACCATCTGATCTTTGACAAAACAGACAAAAGAATACACTGGAGGAAATAATCCCCATTTAATAAATGGTGCTGGGAAAACTGGATAGCCACATGCAGAAGACTGAAACAGGTTATGTACCTTTCACCATTCACAAAAATCAACTCATGATGGGTAACAGATTTAAATCTAAGGCATGAAACCATGAGAATTCTAGAAGAAAATGTTGGAAAAACTCTTATAGACATCAGCCTAGGTAAAGAATTTATGAAGAAGACCCCAAAGCAATCACAGCAACAATGAAAATAAATAAATGGGACCTGATCAAATTAAAAAACTTCTGCACAGCCAAGGAAACTATTATTAGAGTGAATAGACAACTTACAGAATGGGAAAAAATATTTGCATGATATACATCCAATAAAGGGCTGATAACTAGAATCTATAAAGAACTCAAGCAAATCAGGAAGAAAAAAAATCAAATAACCTTAGGGCTTTTAAAACCTAATCCCACTAACCCCCTTCTCCAACCCTCTAGGACACTACAATAGAAAGAATGTGCAGCTATCCTTTCTCAGCTTGGAAAAATTTCCCAGGCTTCCCTGCCTAGTCTCATCTTTATCTCTTTGCTCTGATCTTTTCTCCTAGCATCTTGTTGATTCATCCCTAAATTCCCTCTTCTGCTCAGCCTAGTTAGATTCTAGGGTCTGCCTGACTTATTGCTTTCTCTCAGTTTGTAGTCAAGTGACTTCCAGCTTATCTTTGCCCAGACTTCCCGGCCCTAGCCTAGTGCTGTGTTAGTAAATGTTTACCACAGGCTTTCTGGGGAAAAAGACCTGATTTGTAGCATTCACTGATTTCTGTACTGTGAATATTCCCACCGCAGCCAGATTCAAGCTGACAATGTGATGTCTTGGAATGTGGAGTTGAGAAGAGATGTGCACAATCAACTCTGCAGCCAACTTCAGCCCACCACTGTCCTGGCCCCTCCTTTGTCTGGTAGGAGGCAGGATAGAGGAAGAGAAAATTGGCACAGCTAAAGAATCCTAACCAGGTAATGTATCTTCTCTTGGAAACTTCTAATGTTTTGGTTATTGCTCACCAAGTTTTGGTTATCTTTCATTGGGTCCACCTGTCTCTCTACCTACCTAGGAGGAGATGGAGATGATGGAGGAGAGGTTTCATGTTTGTTGCTGTAAAAAATACCATGCACAATTATAACAATTATTACTGTATCTTTCTGGAAAAATTGATTGATCAGTAGAAATGTTTATTTTTTATTGATTAATAAATAGCAGGGTTTAGTCTATTAAAAGTAACAGAATAGACCACTTACATTTCTACTCAGTGTAATGTATGTAGAGTGTTTCTGACATAGCCTTTTCTTCCTTTTTGCAGTGCTTGCTTCCCAGTGAGTTATATATTTAGCTATCCACCTGTTATTTATTATTTTTGTTTACAGAAAACCATAAGTGCACAGAACACATAAAAGCCCTATAAAGATGAGTTTTCTAATCCAATTAGTAATACAATACCCTGGGCAACAGACAAAATGTGCAAAGAAGTGGAAATATTTTTATAGCACAGATCAGAAAAGATTTTCATAAAAAAGGTAGGAAAGAAGTATAAACAGAAGAGAGTACATGGTGTGGGGAGCACAGAATATAGAACATATTATGTTATTTAAAATATACACTAACAGAATTAAAATAAAAGTGGGACCCAAGAAAGAAAAACTTTTAGAATATACAAGAAAGTAGTGAGAGGGACAAAAAAGGAAATGGAACAATCAATCTAAGAGCATCAAAAAATATATCATAGCAAATAATAACCAAACTGTGGGCTAGGAGACAAGAGAAGGATTACAAGGATCAATATTATATGGAAAAGAAGATAATTATACAAATCTATAGGAAGAGAAATGTGTGGATTAGAAGAGATGAAGAAAAACATTTCACGTTCACAGTTGAGGTTCAACACAAGAAGATATCTGTATGGAAGTTTTCTGAACCTGATCACTTGAAAGCTATTGGTCAATGGTTCAAAAATTCAATATTTAGTTAGTGCAAACTCAAAAAAATTCATTTATCTGATGAGAAATTATTAAGCAGTAACATTGTCAAGATGCTATAGTAGGTGCTGGGGGAGAGAGAGGACAACAAATACTATTGACTTGCCACTCAGGCATGGAGACTGAGACTTGTGTCATTTTACTCTGATCATGATCTTGCCAGGTTGATATTAATATTCTCATTTTTGGTTAAGAAAACTGTTGCTCAAAAGTAGGAAAAAATGAAGATTAAAAGATTTGTGCCTATGAAGAGTTTACCATGTAGTAAACAAAAGTGCTTTTAAATATAAAAAGACTCTTGTCATTTGTGTTAACTGTTTGGGTAAAAAAAGGGTCCTTTATCTGGAACTAAAGTTATGGCTTTTTCTGAGAAGGTGAGAAAAGATTCCTGTTTTTAGATTTCTAATTGCTAAGACTGCTATGCAAAATATATACCAATGATTTGAGCCTAAATTAAAAATGATTATATCTATATCTCTGGAAGAATTGTTTTCTACATAGTTTACATTAGTGCTCTCATAGTTCTGATTATGGGAAAGTTTTATGGAAAATTTTGTGTGCCATAGTAGAGATAAAGATATTGATAGCAATTACTCATATATGATATTTTTGCTATTTGCTCTTCTAACATTTAATATATTATTAACTCACTTAATACTTTATATTCCCAATGCCAACCCTTAACTTGGACTACTTGCCATGTCTGATAAGGAAATCTCCTAACCATTTGTCTCTCTGTGCAACCTCTTCTTAATCCAGTTCATTCTGTATGTTGCCTTTACATGAAAGACCATTGTGAGTGCACAACTATGTTCTCAAAATTTTTTTCTATAGAGTAAAGAATAAATTCCTTGATTTAGGAGGTAAAGCCATCATTAGCTAGTCACTAGGTATCTTCCTAAATATCAGTTCCACAGGTACACTGTTTCATGTGTTTCTAGATGTTTCAACCCTCAAGCTTGCCATTTACCCTTGGTAAAGTGCCAGCACTGTATTATCTACTTATCAAAATGCCCTTCTTTCCTCTACTTTGTGTGACTGAAGTTACTGTTCAATTCCTGGAAAACTTATTTTGTGTGCTATATGCCTCCCTACTTTTTATTCATTTGTTTCTAGGCTGAACTGTATGTCTCTAGAAGGCATGCACTGTATTTTCTGCGCCATTCTTTAGAGTTTACTGCAGTGCACCTAATACACATATAGGTACTCTGTGACTATTTCTGATGATGATATAACCATACACATATCTTAGGCCACTAATATTACTGAACATTATTCACTCAAGAATTATTTATTTGGTTCCTGTTTTTTATCTGGTGCTCTTTAAGGCACTGGAGAACAAGAAACACAAAGTCCCTGCCTTCTGGATCTTATATTTCCATATGAAGATAGACAGTAAACTATTTAATAATGTGATACAATGTGCTTACAAAGAGTGATGAGAACCATAGGACTATAAGGAAAAATGCAGGGTCAAATTGGAGAGAGAAAAACTTAGAGGGGAGGGAGTTGAGTTTAAATACAGGAGTCAGGAAAAGTTGATTTGAGTCATTACTGTTTGATCAGACACTGAAATATGTACACTGTAATTATGTAAGATCAGTTTTGGAGGGGAGCAATAAGCCTAAAGTCTTTAAAAAGTCACTGAGTTTAACTACTTACTGGAAAATATAATAGGAGCAAATATAGAAGCAGGGATGAGTTAGGAAGCTATCTACTATAATCAAGGCTGAAAATAATGGTGGGATTTTGGCTACCTATTGAAGGTTGATGGATTTGTTTATATGATACAATGAGATAACATATTTGGAAACAGAATTGCTCAGAGAATCTCATGTTATGTATCAGAGATAGTAACCAGAATTAGGACTTTGGTTCAAATGCAAATTCACATACAGGTCTCCAGAAACCATTAGATTATTTTTCTTTTTTTCAGTTACAACTAGTTAAATTCTGCCAGGCAAAGATAAAGCTCAGCAAATCTATATTACTTCTGGGTACTTTAGCATCTAGCTTAGAGTTGGGCACATACTTGGTGCTCAGGAAGTTCTTCTCAAACTTTATTGTGCATTCAGATTTACTGAGAATCTTGTCAGAACACAGATTCCAATTCAGTAAGTTCTGGTTTGGTCTGGAATTCTGCATTTCTAAGAAATTCTAGGAATTGTCAATGGTGCTTGTCTGAGGACTCCATTTATGTAGCAAGGTTCCATGATTGATTAGGTGGTTAGTTGACTGACTAAACTAGGAGGAAAACCTGATGGTTAGAATTTTTCTTAAATAATACCCTATTTGTATCAATTTGAGTTAAAAAGTATTTGATGCTTGCAAATAAATATTTAAATATATTTCTTAGGGGATTAAGATTATTCAGGGATATATAAGATGACTACTCAGATAATTTTCTAGGTTAAAAGTGTTGCAGAGGATAGATTTCAGTGGCATTCTCATTGGCGTTATTGTTTCTATAATGGTTGTCAGGATTATTCTGTAACTGTTGTTTCTGGCTAGTAGAAACCATGGTATAATAGCATTTTTTCTATCCTGCACAGGAGCACCTGGGGAGCTTTTATAAATACAAACAGCTGTGTCCCACCCCTTGGCAATACAGTAAGTATTCTGCTATCTGTATTTGTCAAAATTTACCCCAGTAATTCTTCTGTTTAGCTGTTTGGGAGCCATATGTATATGTAAGTAAACTATTGTTATTATAATAATATCATGATTCTAAGATGACATACTAATAGAATTGGCTTAAGATGAATTAAGAAAATTAAATTTTTAAAATGACAGCTACTTAATTCTTTCTAAAATATATTCCATATATAAAATCCTAAATATAGCACCATGAGGTTATATGTATAGGCAGCTATTTTAAAATATGTATAAGGATATAAATGGTGATTATCAATTAATGGCATCTGCTAGTTATATAGATCGTTCCCCTTTATATACTGAGGGGAAACATATTTCTTATATATTGAAATTTTACTTTCTTAGAAAAGTATTACATGAAATATAATTATTGCCACAATAATTCTTTAATGTGTTATACTCTGCAATCCTCTTGAAGGACTAAGTAGGCTCCCTAAACTATATGTGTATGTAAATGTATGTATCTACACATACATACAAAGATATATACATGTGTATTAGTCTATAGCAAAATTACATAATTTTTCATGCATTACGCATAAGGAGCATATTAAGGTTGGACAGATCAGAGATATTAGGTTTTCTTATTGATTGATTCATCAAAGTGTTTTAACTGAGGACAGATGAGTGAAATTGTTATGTCATTCATCATCTTGAACAATCTTCTTAAGAATTTCATATTGAATATAAATTACCAAACACATTTTTAAGGTCTTTATCTTTCCAATGTTAAACCTTGAATATTTTGCATTAAAGTCTAGATCTAACTCATTCACATTGTTTTAGGGGTAGCAAATGTATGTCTAAAACTGTTTTCAGGGAAACTTAAGAGATTTATAAACTTCCTGAGAGTCTTTTTTTTCCTTTCTTAAAGACCAGGAAGTTTCGCTTATTCTTGAGCATCTTATTAGCTGAAAATAAAAGTTGATCTCATTCCAATTGTATACCAGTAACTCTCTTCCAAACTTTGAGCCCTGAGCAAATCCTGTGAGATAATGTGCTTCTGAACATTGCTGCCAAGAGCTGGGGTGGCAATGGTCACAGAGACCTTTCACTTCCCAGCTACGTCATGGCCACGTGTTTGTCCCCAGTGCAGAGAAATAACTGTCTAGTCTCGACAAGAGTTAATTGTAAAGGTGAGTTATTTGGAAACTCTTTTCTAGCTTTAAATGTCATCTAGCTTTTTTGGATGAGAAATGCAATTTTTTAATTAAAAATAAAATAAAATTCACGTATGTTGAAGTATTATAAAAGATTAGTTTCTTCCTTAGCAGAATGTAGGCTCTGGCAGAAATATAGTTTCAGGTGTGGGTGTAGGAGGGAACCAAACTTGGATGAAACAGGATTTTATCTTCCTGGGGTGGGCTGCCAGTTAAATTTCTGCAAATAGCAATGTCATAAAGCATGGTTTGAGAGAAAGACCATGTGCTTTCCAGAGTAGCAATTGGGAGAAAAACAACAAAATTACAAGGAGGCTAAATGTAAAAAACAAGCTTTCTTCTCATCCACCTTAAGTATCACAAAATAAAAATGCATTTTAAAATTATGCTTTGTGCAATAACTTGAAAATCTAAGTACAACAGCATGAATCTTAAAAGTTCCAAGAGTGCCTGCTTGATGAACTCTGCTGCCTCAGTACTAACATATAAAGGTTAATTAAAGAAACGACAAGTTCTGTGCTTCTCTAACGTGGCTAAGGAAGACACATTAGCAAAGCCACATACAAAGCTGAACAGCAATTAGAGAGAATCAAAAAACAGACACACAAAATGGAACCTTTGGCAAACCTAAAGATAGACTCTACCTCAGCATCTGTCGTTATGTTACAAACATCTAAAAACCTTACGTTTCTGATTTTTGCTTCTTTTTCCACCAACCTACCCTCCCACACACACACACACACACACTCTTTGCCTCCACACTTCCCTGTAACATGGGATTTGTGGGGAAATTGAAGGGAAAAGGAGCTACCATTAAAAGAAGTCTTCCGAGGTGACAGAGGGGAAAATGACCGTGTAGGAATAGCTCAGAACACTTGTGAGGAAATAAAGAAAATCAGGGTTTAGTGGAAAATAGAAGTAGTTTCTCCATTAAGACATTGAGATATTGGGGGGGGGGGAAGTGGGGCGTTTGATTTTCTATTCATAAAATTCCTGGCATCATTTACTTGCTTATCTTCTAGCAAACAAATCAATAGTCTTCTTGGTATTTCATTTAAGTTCATCATACTTCAACCTCTGTAGTTCAGTGGACTTTCTGTTTATTTATTGTTCTGTCTTCCATATTATGCTACCCAAGCTAAGTTTTTCTTTTTTTCTCTCTCATCTTGTCAGTATTTTTTTTTAATTCCCCTGAGTCATTTTTAACATACAGTTAGGAATTTTTCCAGCCACTTGAAAATTCTATACTCTTTTCCTGCCATTTAAAATACAGTATTACAGTAAATTACTGCTACTGGGAAGAACATTCTGACTTGATCAGTGCAACCATAGTGTAAAGTGTGATAGACAGAATTCAAACACTAAGAGGGCAGTCTCTAGTTTTCATATATCATTCTTTAGTTACAGATAAGTAGTACATTTAACTGTATTTATATTAAGACATTAGAAATATATTTGTATATATTTGATATTACTAATTTGTTAACTACGACAATTTCACACAGAAACCCTTTTGTTGGAAACTGAATTTCACATGTAATAATTAGCTGTGGAATATTACCCCAAACAGGTGTCTGTAGCCTGTCAAAGTCAGAACAGGTGATTTAGAATTAGCGTATTAAAAGAACTGTGAATTAGCGAAGCAAAAACGTGTTAATTTCTTGTTCCATCTGTTAATATGAATTCACTGCCAAATATTTTACTTTGTAGAACTGTGCTGGGATTGGCAAGAACATACACTATAAAAAAAGTTTAAAGGCCTGAATGTTTAAAAATCATGACATACGTTACTGCAAAAATAACTTCTACATTTTTGAGCATGCTTTTTTTTTCTTTTTTATCTTTGAAAAAAATAACTGCAGAGATTGCCATATAATATAGAAAGTTAACTAAAGAAAACATACGATCAAATGTTAGACCTTTAAAACAAAAATTGGAAGAAAATGTTATTCAAGAATGTTTGATTATAAATGAAGACTAATTCTTCAGTGCTACTTCTCAGATGGATCTGAGAACTATTCTGAATTGCTGAAAGACATAGAGAGAAATATCTGCTGCTACCATGCAGCTCATATCCAATAATATCCTCTTATACAGAGATGCCATTATAGAAAGAGAGAGCTTTTTTTTTCTATCCAAATACTGTAATCCTTTAAAGGATTATGGTGCAATTTAGGTCACTAAACCACAATCTCTGTATAATTCCTAAATCTATTGTTCATTAGCTTAGTTTTGTTTCTTCCCTCAAATTTTACTTACATGGATAAAATCAAAATACATTATACCCTTAACTCCATATGCATGTGGGTAATCATGTATGGCAGTGTCAGTAGTATAGGGTAAGGAGGAGGAAAAGAGGGAAGGCCCATAACAAAATGTAAACAATTCTTGATGTATACTCTATTCCAACACATAAAGGAATTTGGCCTGCAACTGGACACGTTTTTATTCTGAAAACCTTAAGAGAACCTAGGGCTAATGAACTGTTGAACCCATTTGCCATCTTTGTATCTCTTTTCTTTGCAGGCAGATCCATGGGAGAAGAAAGAAATTTGAAGTGAATTGAAATTTGTGAGCTTAGACATATGCTAAGAGTACAGTTAACTTGAGTTACTTTTTCCATGCTGCTGAATTGGGTCCTGAATGAGGCAGTTTTGTGACTTAAACAGATTTCACTAATTTTCCTTCCTTGCACATTTAAAAAACAAACCACACTCTCCCATATTGCTGTTTGGGTTTTAACGGAGCTAAGGCATGCACACCCAATTACTATAAGCACTTTAAGTAAAGCTTAAAGATATGCAGCATGTTCTTAACTGCAAATGATATGATAGGTAGTGTCTTTCCTCTCTAGTTTTATGTCACATCCAAGAGATTAATCCTCTCATGAATCATCCATAATGACTAGAATAATTTGGGGAACTGAATGAAATTTTTCAAATTATTTATATCATGAACTCACAAGAATATGAATGGTGGGTTATGCAAATACAAACCATGCTTACAAAAGCTAAATACAAAAAGAAGGGAGAGGAAAAAGAGGGTTAAGTTTATATTTCTAAAACTGGACGTCTTTGAACTGACACACCGTGTACTTACTACTTTACTGGTGAGTGATTCCTGTTATAGCTTATGAAATACATAAAAGAAACTTTTATTGTTTCCAACATATGAATGGAAAAATAATGATCTTTTGTATAAGTCAGAACAAACATACCAGATTCTCTAAGGATGTAAGATGTTGATATTATGGGGTGTTCATAATAATATTTAAGAAAAACTAAACATCTTTAAAAATAGCCACAGATAATGTTTTCCAAATTGAAACAAATAGACTGGGCATACATTTTATAATTCTTCCTATACATGATCTCAGACAAAAGACAATACTCTATTTACCATCATGTTTAAGAAATACATTCTTATTGTATAGGAATCTTTGATGAAATAGTTCTGAAGTTCTATAACATCACCCTAAAAATTCACATAAACCTATATAATACATAAAACATTTTATGAAGTTTTAAATTATACAGTACATCAAAGTTTTAGTTGACTTATCTGAAAAGACATTTTTGGTATGTAAATAAAAATGCAAAGAGAAGAACCTGTCAGAAAGTAAATAAAGTATGTAAATTAAATAAAAGGTAAGGCAGCTACACTTTTTATATAAATAACTGTGTTAACAGAGCTTTATGCATATTATAGTATATTCAGATGCATAGCTTTTGCAAAAATAAATTCATTGCTCCTCTCCAAAGAATGGATTAAAACAATTTATTTTATAAAATTTGGATAGATAGGATAAGAAATGTAATAGCCATCCATGGAAAATAAATATAAAAATTATTCAAGCTCCATCTACTTTATGTTAGTAATGAGATGCACTTCATTCAAATTCCTTTCAATTGAAACAGTGCTGAGGAAGCAAAAACATGATTCTGTAGGAAATGATTTCTAATCTTCATGATAACATACCGATATAATACAATTATTTACAATTGACTAAAAGTTAATTTCAATAGTATAACATCTTTCTTGCAAAAATGTCAGCTTTTATTGATGAAACAAACTAAGAATAAAACATTTTTACTTGTAGTATTACAGTGCTGTTTTTCATTCTGTTAACCAAAACAACACAGTAATACTGTAAACAAAAAAATAACATCAGACTGCTTGTGTTTGCATGATTTTATCAAGAACCATAAGCAATGCAATGAAGTACATTAGCTGTAATTTTGGAAAACATTCTATTCTTTTAGAATGTGCACATGCTATCTTCAAAATAAGAAGTGACCATTGGACTAATTGTGTTAATTATCTATTATGCCTTAGAAGAACATAAAGTTAATAATTGAAAATGATTGATCTCACATATTCAAAGTAAAATAAAAGCAAATAATATGCAACAGACAAAACTATCATCTGTATATTATCTATCTATCATCATCATATATCTACACACACACACACACACACACACACACATAAGTTCACACATACCAGTGTTTCTTAAATGGGATCTAAATGTCTATAGAAATTTTTGGTTGTCACAATTTGGGGGCCAGTGCCATTAGCATCTAGTGGGTAGAAGCCAGTGATGTTGGTAAATATCCAAAAATGCACAGGACAGCCCCCACAATGAAGAACTTTCCCATCCAAAATATTAAGTGTGCCTAGGTTGAAAAACCCTGATACATACCTAGAGCTTTTGTTGTTACCACCTTTCTTTTTCTAATTGAGAAGTATCAATTTGTTTACATAAGACTGGTCAAATCAGACTACTGTCATCATAGAGGAATGGGATTTATTACCACATTATGGAGCATATCCTCTGTTTCAGGCCTTTTTGTAGGCATTGACACTAGTCTAGTCCAATTTCTTCATTTAAAGATTGGTAAATAATTGGAGGGGTAACTAAAGTGATCAACCTACACTCACTTTGGAATGGCTGGATTTGAACTGAGTTTTCTTGACTCTAAGATTTTAGGCACATCTTTTGTGCACAGGAACCTCTGCTCTCAGCAGAGCCAACTGTGAATGGTATCTGTATAATGTTGATTTTCATTATATGTGTATTTTCCTGTGTGTTGGCTAAAACTCCAACTTGCTTTGACTGCTTTGAATAGGTTCTTTGCTGGTAAATTTTAAGAAATAGAGGTACCATATGAAAGAAAAATGTTGATTATACAGGAATAGACCTCATTAACTGAACAAATCTCCTTCAATGAATTGTATTTTAATATTATGCTCTCATTTTTTGATTGAATCCTTAATAGAGACTACAAAAATAAAAATTCCTTTGAAAATGCTCTAGTGTAAAAAGAATATTACATGACAATATTATCAGAATAAAATCCATAAAAACTTTTTAAAATGTGTTATTTTCTTACATTTTCCCTTAGCCGCCAATTTTTGCTAGCATCAAAAACACTAGTGCTTATGTTTGACATATCTGTCTCTTTGTCCTTTTTCCCTGATTTACTTTTTTTTTTTAACATATGGGGAGGTATAACTAAATAAATTATCTAATGAAGTATAGAATTGGCTTCTGTTTTCCTAGGAAGCTTACTTAACAGTATCATGGAATAATAACATTATAAATGCTTTCTAAACCAAGTAATTAGCATGCACTTTCTTCTCTCATGATTTACTCAATGATTTTGCAGCTATCACATTGCCTAGTATTTCATGATAGGTTACCAGGGATGCTTGTTCTATCATATTCTTACTTAAAACAACTAAGCATGCCAATGACAGCTTAAAGACTTGTAATATAATATTAACATGGTTCTTCCATGTGCTGAGTACTGTGTGTTGTATTTTTGTATGTGTGTTATTTTTTTCTTATCAACTCAGTCCTGCAAACTGGATACAATTATCTTTTTTTTTTTTTTTTTTACAAATTTAAAACATGGAATCTTCGAGCAAGTCAGTAACTTGCATAGTCTTATTCACAGAGCTAATGGCAGACCTAGAATCCCATAGTAGATCTGACTGCAAAGTCCTTGCTTGTTTTCCCTTGTAGTGTTAGTCTATTTAATGCATGAGAAAAGTTGAAACTTTTAAAATAGAGTATGAAATAAAATTCTAAGATAAAAATTTAGGTATGATTTATTTCTATTTCTGGTATAGTTATTTTTATTGAATCTATAGAGTATTGATTAATTTCATTCCCATTCTGTTTCCTCCTCCATTCTCCCCATCACATAGCTATACTACAGACCTAACAGCATAGCTTATCAGCTGAAGGATTTCAAAGAAGAAAATTACTCACAGTTCAAAGGTTAAATATTGATTTTTTTTTTTTAGACAGTCTCTCACTCTGTTGCCTGGAGTAGAGTGCTGTGGCATCAGCCTAGTTCACAGCAACCTCAAACTCCTGACCTCAAGTGATCCTCCCACCTCGGCCTCCCAGAGTGCTAGGATTACAGGCATGAGCCACCATGCCTGGGCTTTGTCTTTTCTTAAATGTCGCTTAAGTGCAACTGTTTGAGGAACAGGGTTGCATATTATACTGTCTTCATCAAGAAAGGCATAAAACTGTACTGTATCTAGTTTCATGATCATGAAAGACTAAAACTGATTAAGGCTTTTCAACAAATATAAGAATCCATAAATAAATGCAATGATGCCTCATATAATTGGAACTGATTATACCATAAGAATGATATCACGGAAAAAATAAAATATTTGCAATTATGTGATGTAAAGCTGCCTGTTTTAGCAGCTGCCTGATTGAGACCGTACAATGTTCAGCTCTCTCTACCCCAAATCATCAGAAGGTAAACTGGATAGACTACAAACAAATTTGCAGTAGGTATTTGAAATTTTTCTTTGTTTGTATGAGGGGCAAAGTTTCTCTTTCTTTTTATCTTTCTCCTTTCACACTGACAATATTACTCAGCAGTCCCCAGGCTATCCTCTTTCCCTTTATATTCCATTTTCAATACGGAACAAGAGACTCTGATCAGAATGTACTGACTGATGATACTTCATTGAATCTTGATCATATCTTATAGCTACCTTTACTGAGCCTTAGCATTTAAATCTTATCCACAACTTCCAAATGTAGTTGAATTTATTTAGTTTAGAGATGTGGCAGGCAGAATTCTAGTATGGTCTCCAAAATTCCAGTCCCCTGCCATAAATGGCCAGTATTATAATCCCCTCCCTTCAATATAGACAGGATCTGTGAATATGATGGGATGTCACCCCTGTGTTTAGGTGGAGATGTAATCAAAGTTCGAAATCCATTGATTTAGAGTTAATTAGAAGGTTGATTATCCTGAGTGGGCCTAAGCTAATCGAGTGCTTGCTTTAAAAGATGATCAGCCCTTCCCTAAAAGAGGAGACTGGAGGTAGGAGCAATGGTCTCCCGCTGCCTTGAAGGAAGCACACTTCCATGTTGTAGCCTGCCTCGGACTCAAGTGCCTCGGCCTGCAACCACAAGGAACCTAATTCTCCCAACAGCAGCGAGCCTGGAACAGGACGCTGAGCCTTGGAAGAGATTGCAGTCCTATGGACACCTGGATAGCAGCCTCGAGACCCTGAGCAGAAGACCCAGCTAGGCTGTGCCCAGATTCCTGACCCATGGAAACTGTGAGATCATA